ACTTTAGTTTTGTCACGGGGGAAGAAAGCTAGAAAACACTTGAAGAGCCAATGTCATCTTGTGTGTGTGTGTGTGTGTGTGGGGGGATAGATCCATAAATTATTATTTTTCACCTTGAAAGATCTGAGGGCGATCTAGTGTGTGACCTGGGAAAATCCTGGTAAACATCAGCAGCTGCATGGCAAGAGAACCCATTTCCCAGTAATTCCACAGGATGCTGCAAAACTGGTTTGAGTGTTTTTCCAAGTTCTGTTTAGTGATTCAGACTGTACCAGGGGAGAGAGAAGATGGGAAAACGGCCTGATAAAAGGTCAGTTCCCTCAGTCTCATTCCCTCCTTGGAATGATTTCCATTTGATCATTAGAGGAACTGTATTTACCTCTACGAATTGGTTCTTTAGTTTTCTTTTGGCCTCTCCTCTCCCCTTTATCATTTTGTGTCATCCTTTTAGAAAGTAAATCAGGGGGCAGGCAATGTCTTGACACTATTCACCCTTTGTAAGATGCTCTGCCAGACGTTTTCAGCTGAGGAAGGGAGTAAAATTAATGCCACCATCAAACAAAGGCCCTTCCAGACCGCTAAATATTGTGTTCATTGTTCACCGCCCTGTCCTGCTCTAGACAGATGCTCACCAAGCAGCACTGTGGAGGTCGGCTGGGTTTTGCAGGACCATGGACAGCTCATGGCAGGAAACGAGCAGCACCACGGACAGCTCATGGCAGCACAGAGTGTGTTTCAAAGCCCCTGCCCAAAACAAGGGTGTTGCTCCAGGCAGGATCTGGAACTAACTGAGCTCCATTTCAGCACCCTGCCTCACTTCCCAAGGCTGTGGGCAAGGGGGACTTGAGGCCTAAGGAACTACAGAGAGTTCTTGGGAAATGGGCAAGGGGGACTTGAGGCCTAAGGAACTACAGAGAGTTCTTGGGAGATGATGCTGCAGCTGGAAACATAATGCAGGAGCTGCCTTATTGGGCTGTGCAAGTTTGATCCAAGCACCTGACCTTGGAAGCCAGTGGTGAGATGGAGCTTCCTAGGACTGGTTCCTTGTCACCAATCTTCTGTATATACAAAACTCCTTCTGAGAAGGCCAGGGAGGCTGGCACCCACATCCTAATTAGCAAGGCATGAATATCATGCCACTTGGGTGTTGGGAGCCAGTGGAACTAGGACCAGGGAACCATTGGTCAGGGTGGGAAACATGCAGTCCTCCAGATGTTAGACCAGATGTCATCCATCAGTCCTTGCCGGCATAGCCACTGGATGATGGGAATTGCATCATCAAGGGCAGATGTGATTGGGCATTGCCAATGACTCTCAACTCCCCAGCGTTGCTCCTCTTCATTGCTACAACTTTCTTAATCACCCGCCTCTCTTTATTATATTCCTATCCCACCTTTCTCCCATTGTGGAACTCAAGGTGGCCACGTACAGTTCCCAGAGGGTCTCTCCTCCAAGCTTAGGCCAGCCTCAGACTTGCTTAGCTTCAACAGGGTGGTGAGCCTTACGAGACTTCAAACTGTTCTCTCTCTCTCTCTGACTCTGGTGGTGATTGTGATAGTGGGAAGGAAGGGCAAGAGATGTCAGCGCTTACCTGCTCACTGCCTCTCCCCATGTCAAGTGAGGAAGAGCTGGCAACCATGAGAAAGGGGTGAGGAGTCAGGACAGCTGATGGCAAAGGTGGTGAGAAGGGAGGGTCCTTGCGAAATGGACCCTGCTGATGATGGTGTCTTGCCCAGGTGCCATCAAAAAACTGGAGCCATCACTAGTAAGTCACGCAGGAGGGCCCAAGTTGTCGAAGCCTATCACTGCATTCCCTCAGAAGCATATGCATCTCTTTGGGAATGCAAGCTATGAATTTAGATGCATGTCTTGGCATTTTGAAGGGTATGGCATTATGACATGAACCATTCTGAACATTTGCAAATGGAGGAAAAAAGTTTGACAGGGACCGTGGTGGGATGCAAAACCTGAATGCCTCAATTCAGGGTCCATGAAGGCTCAACAATACCACGACTGCCAAGTCTCTGAAAAGCATTGCATGTGCCTTTGTGTGAGCCTCTGTCAGATTTAAAATGGGCTTCCCAAACCCTACCTGGATATTTATAGGGATGACGCACCAGGAATAAGCATCAAGTTATTTTTGTGGTGGTGCTCATCAATCATGTAATGACATAGCCATCAAAATAAAGAGCAGATAAATGGAACCAGGGAAGGGCGAGGACATGCTGGGAACCCTGGGTGAGGGGCTTCACTTCACCCAGATGGGGTTCTCATGCTTTGGAATCTGCGCTGCTTGTTCCTCTTAAAACATTCTGTTCCTATGTTTAGAAACCATCAATCATACTTAATTACTAATGAAGAATGGTGCTAATTGCTTTCATCCAGGACAGTATTTTCCCTGGATAGTTACAGGTTCTTGACCCATACTTTCTAGGAGATTCTCTCCATTGGACTGGCTAGCAGGTTATTCCGTTGCTATTGTCTGGGTTGTGTTGCTTGCTCACTCTGCTCTGGTGGGTTTGGTTGGGTTGGAAGTACACACAGATGTGCTTGTGGATATTGGTACCTCCATGTGGGCAGACAATCCTGAAGCCATCCTGTGAAACTACCCCAGACAGCTTTGGCTGTGGGGCAGTATAGAAATGCATCAAGGAAGAATATTCATGTTTTCCCATGATTCAAATCTTATTGGGATATTAATACAATAGGAAGGAGGAGGAGAAAATTTCAGCCTCAGCTCAGTCTGTCTGCTTGCTGGCTGAGCAGGTTCACTTAAAGCCTACATATTTTTCCTTGGAGTTGACATTCCTTTCCCTTTGTAGCAGTCAGTCTAGCATCCCATCATCCCAGCCCTTTAAGCTCCATGAGTTCCCTTTCTGCATTTTCACACTAGACATCCTTCCATACCAGACTTCCTTAAAACCTTCCACTATAGTGTACAGTTCCAGAGTTTTGAGGGCTGGAACACCGTCAATGGATCCTCTTCCCAGTGAATCTCCCTTCTCACTGTGATTCTCAACAACTGGAGTTGCTCCTCAATCTCATCCTCATCCTGGGTACCACTTGTTTGATGGGCGGAGAGCCAATGACCAAGGAGGTCAGGCATTCCCTGCTCCTTCTTTATGCCACCACTGTTGTCTGGGCCAGAGGTAAGTGACCAAACGGGCTCTGGTGGAGGAGGAGGACCTGAGTGAGAGGCAGGTAGACAACAAATTTGGAATGGTGAAGAAGTGAAGCAACTCCAGGGGGTTCTTCCCAGCAGGCCCGTACTGGAGCATGGGGCTTCTGCAGCTGCCCAACTTCTTTTCACCTTGGCTGTTACAAGAAGTGCAAGTGGAAAAAGGAAATTTCACTCTTAAAAGGGAACTTAATAGGGCCCTTCTCATTTTATTGCATGGTTGCCTGAACTTTGGTCCCACTTCATGAAGGCCAGCTTTCCTTCCCCTCCCTCCTCTGGCTGCCCTTCCAATTCACCAGCTTTAGATGGAACCAACATCTACTCTCCTTCCCCAAATTTTTAAAAAATGCCTTTTCATTTACTTCCCTCTCCCCCACTCAGCTTCCCCCACTCAGCTTCCCCCACCCTTTCTCCTACTCCCTTCTCAAGGGCCTGAAATAAATTGATTTCCTTGAGAAAGATGCCAAGATAACATGCCTATCAATTAATAATCCAAAGTGAATAAGGACGAGGAGTCAGGGTTGTCACTGGTAGTCTTTTCTGCATGTAAACATTGCCTTTTTTATTCATGAGTTGTTAGAGAAGACAGATCAAAAAGACAGAGTGGAGAACTTGGATTTGCCATGTGCTGAGAGATGAATTCTGTTAACTGCATGAAATAGCACTTTTGGTAATGAAGTGAAACCTCCTGCCAGTCTTTCTAGACTGGAGGCAGGTGTGTGAGAGAGAAAGAGAGAATGTACCATCTTGGGATCATAAGAGGAAGAAAGAGAAATGAGCTGAAATGGTCCAGAAGACCATTTTCTGAGAAACTATCAGCGTTCACCACACTTTTCACCTGCTCACTCCAGAAAAACGGGCACTTGCAATTTTCTTTTTCAAAATATTTCCATTTAAAAAAAAAGTGGCGGCTATCTTTTTGTTCTTCATTGTGCTGAAATGATGCTAAATCCACACCATTGTGGAATATTTTCATTCATTCACTCACTTGTGAGTCACCCTATAGTTGTCTGGGTAACGTACATATAATCGAGGGCAAAACAATGGAACCGGTGATGAAACCCGTGATAAATTGTATTAAGCATATTTTTTAAAAATGTCAGAAATCAATTGGAATAATTTAAATAAAAGAAATAACAGGACAGTTAAAACATAGGAAAACTTATTTTAAAGTGGAACCCAAGACACACAATAAGCAATAAAGCAAACCTAATTTTAAGCTGGTAAAGACTTAGGAGAATACAAAAGTGCTTTGTCTAATGCGAACTGGTCAACCAGGGAAGACCTCCTGTAGTTTGTGCTGTAGGGGGACAACCAACCTTATTTTTGCTCTAGTCCAAAGAATACAATGTCAAATTTAAACCAGTTGGAAATGAATTTAACAGTTATAGTTCTGTCTGCCCCTGTACTTGACTTACAGGGGAAAACAGACCCCATGACATATGCAATGGTTGCCTTAATTATTGTTTTAGAACTAGTCTACAGTGAGGGGCACACGGTTTGGCTAAACCTTGCAGCACGGAACCTGCAGATTTTATTAAACCCCTGCTCTTCCCCCAGTAATTTCAAGATGGTTGCACCAGAAGCTTTTGGAATGATGCTCCTAGCCCTTTTCAAGCATTTGAGCGAGACGTTTTCCTAGCCACTGTGTACCTGCAAATTCCCACAATCAATCCATTGCTTGCAGTGATGGTTCAGGCTTGGAATCCACTCCAGTTTGTCAGATCTGCTCTAATTCGGTAGCAGGTGGGGTGGGACATGCTTTTGTGATTGTCCCTGATAATTTGCCCCTCTCTCTCTCTCCTTTTCCACTTTTTCATAGGAGGCAACCTTTCCAAGCAAGACTGGACCATCCAGTGGCCAGCGACAACCGAGACCAGCAAGGAGAGCAATCCCACCTGCCAGTCGGAATCCATGCAGTGGATCCGAGCGCATCTCTCTCCAAGCCCCAAAGCCCAGCCAAAGTGCATTCAGCATTACTGCCACCCAACCATGTCCCACGGGTCGGTGTACACCCACGTGGACAGGCTGACCGTGGAAGGTTTTCCGGGACTGTGCCCCTCTCTGGAATCTGGCCACCGCTCCTTGCCCCCTTCCCCCCGTCAGCGGCATGCTGCCCGCACCCCACCACGCACCCCTAATATAGTCACCACCATGACTCCGCCAGGCACGCCCCCCATCAAGAAGAAGAACAAGGTGAAGCCGCCCGGCACACCGCCGCCCTCATCTCGGAAGCTGATCCACCTTTTCCCAGGATTCACCTCTTTGCATCGCAGCAAGTCCCATGAATTCCAGCTGGGCAATCGGGTGGACGAGGCTCACACACCCAAGTAAGTGGACCGGACGGGATATTACATGGCATGTGGAGGCAGGAAGGGAAGGTGGGCTTCCCCAAACTGCACCTGGTGCATCGTTAAACAGTGAAATTCTCCCCCAGAGATGTAGCAAAGGCCACCATTTTGGATGGTTAAATGGGGATTGGACAGATTCATGGAGAAAGGCTGTCTGTGGTGCTGGTCCTTGTAGAAGCCAAGGCAGACTCGGTTCCTTCCAAAAGCAGAGCCAGTTGACTGTGTGTGGTTGAGCTCCTTGAGATGTTCACATTCTTTCTCTCCACTGCCGCCCCCCCGCCCCCCCCGCTCCAGCCCATTTTGTCATTTTATCATTTTACCATTTTATCCTCTTTCTAATTCCTGCTGGCCTCATTACCTCTTTGGAAAAAGAAATCAAGCAGTAGGGGGAGCTCCTATTCTAGAAAACTTGGAACTCTGTTCTCCCTGTTTGATGGATCCCGAGTGTGTGAGAAATTAGTTCTGCTTGGGGAAGAACACGCTGGCCTTGGGGTTGCACCAAATTCTCTGTCAGTGGAGAAAACTTCACATGAATCTTAAGAATGCAGGTCATCTTGTCTGGGGGGTGCACAGCCTGCAGCCCCCAAGCATTGTTACATGGCCACCAAGATCTCCAGCTGCTATCTCAAAGACCACCAGGGACTCAAGGGCCCCTGCACTGGTGGGGTCTGTGGTAAAGCTGCCTCCCTCCCTCCTGACTCCAAGCAATCATGGATTGCTGTCCTGCAGGGCTGGCCCTGTAAGAAGGCAGCATGGGGTGAGCTCTCCAGGCAGCAGATGGACAGGAGAGTTTGAGGGCCTGCCCTGCATCCCGCAAAGCTAGTCTGCTGCCTTCAGTTGCAATGGAAGACACTTCCATCACCAGCACGGATGATGGGATCAGCTCAGGATGGCTCCTTTTACAGCTTTCTCTTTGCTGAGTTACTTGGTGTTGTCTCTGGAGAAGATCTGTAGGTAGCTTGTACAGAAACAAGATTCAAGGTGATCTTGATAGGTTGGAGCCCTGGGTTGAAAAGAACAGAATGAAATTCAATAGGGACAAATGCCAAGTTCTGCACCTAGAAAAAAGAAACCAGATTCATCGTTACAAGATGGGGAATGCTTGGCTCAACCATACGGCAAATGAGAAGGATCTTGGGATTGTCATAGGGTCCCCAGTGTGATGTGGCTGCAAAAAGGGCAAATTCCCTGTTGGGCTGCACTAATGGAAGTACCACTTCCAAATCCCATGAGGTGCTCGTTCCCCTTTACTCAGCACTGCTTAGTCCTCACCTGGAGTCCTGCGTCCAGTTCTAGGATCGCTGTTTAAGAAAGAGGCAGACAAGCTGGAAGGGTTCCAAGGAGGGCAATGAGGGATGGTCCAGGGTCTGGAAGCAAAGCCCCATGGAAAGAACTGGGCATGTTTAGCCTCTAAGAGAAGACTGAGGGGAGATAGGATAGCACTCTGCAAATACTTGAAAGGCTGTCTCAAACAGAAAGGCCAGGATCTCCTCTCACAGGACATGGGATAACAGGCTGAGGTTACAGGAAGCCAAATTCTGGCAGATATAAGGCGACATTTTGGACTGTTAGAGCAGTATAGCAATGGAACCAATGACCTATGGAGGTTGTGGATCCACACTAGCGGCATTGGAGATGCAGCTGGACAGCCATCTGAGAGGGATGAGGGTTAAATTGGGACTCCTGCACTGAGCAGGGGGTTTGATTTGGTCCCCCTCTGGCCCCTTCCAACTTGACTATTCTATGAGTCTATGATTCTAAGTGAAAGAGCCCATTTGGGAAAATGGATGTGCTTTTGATTCACCCTGTGTGCAAGCATATAGGAGAGGTGTTGTAGAGCCCATGCACAAGGACCCAGGTTCAATCCCCAGGAAGGCGAGGGAAGAATCCTGCCTCATGACCTGCAGAACTGCTGCCGGTCAGTGTCAGCCATGTAGGCTAAATGGAGCAAGGGTCCCTGTGCTCCTCACTCAACCCACTATCAGTAGTCAGTAGTCTTCTCAAGAAGGGTCAGAGTTGGGGCTTGCGGAATCTAGGCTGGGATCCCGAGCAAGTGCCCATCCGGATGCCCTGCGACCCTCCTTCCCTCAGTCCTGGTGCTGCCATCTCAGCATGGACCCCACGGCCACAGAACATTTGCCTTCAATTTCATGAATCAGTTTGTCTCTAATGAGCAGAGAGGAGCAGCATATTAGCCATTTCCCTACATGGCAACACCACACAGTCCAGCACACGGATTGGGTTGCCAGCTCATTAAGTCCAAATGTGGCACCTCAAAAGGGAAGAGTTTCATTTCCTTCTAATGAAATGTTCCACATGGGGAGCGGGCAGCTCTCAGCCATTATGATTCCAACTATCAATCAAGAAGCTACCTAGTAATTGAGTTTCTTCTGTATTTCCCTTGCATTTTGTTTGTGGGGTGGGTGGTGCTGGAGAATAACCTGTCCTTGCAGGAAACATTCTAGCTCTGAGCCTGCAGGGCAAACAACAGGGACAGATTCCTGCTTCCACACCTGCCCAGGCATCTTGGATTGTCCACTGGAGGAAGCAGCTTGCTGAGTTAGGTGTTTGGCTGGTCAAGAAAGCCATGCTTCAAGGTCTTACTAAAGGGGAGCACCAAAGTCCCCCCATTTGCACTCTGATGTGGCTCCCAATGGTTCCATCTCAGAGGACCTTCTGGCATCTGAATGTCCTCGATATTCTATGCCATGATAGCCACTGGAGAAGAGCAACAAGATAAGTTGTTGGCTACATGTTCTTGTGGGCTTTCCAGCATATCAGGTTGCCTACCAGGAGGAGAAGGAAGTCCTCAAGATGAACCTTGGGTCCAATCTAACCTGCCTTGTGTTCTATGCTCAGCAAAGCCAGCTTAGTAGAAGAGCTGAAGCAATAAGGAGAAGGAAAGCAAGCAGAGCAGTGGCAAACATATCAGCCCGGTTCTCCCATCTTGACACACCTGGTCACTTTCACCTATGGAAAAAGCCATTTACCATTCACCCACTGGGTTTCCGGTGAAACTAAAAAGTTCCTTGTCAGTGTGTGTTCTTCCCTCCCTTCCCACACATTTTAAAATTGCATGTAGATGTGAAGAGTTACATATATTCCCTTAAAAGCACCAGCTATTGATCTGTGAAATTGATGTGGCTTCCTCAGCTAGTCCAATGGAGAACTAGAGACGGGGGACAGGAGATGGTGTGGAGGCAGAAGGCCAGTGGCCAGTGCGTTACAAGACGTGAGAAAAGCCTTTGTCCTGATCTGCCTGGGAGGAGGACGTATGCATTGGTACGCTGGTTATTGGGGGCCATGGCAGGGGTCCATAGCCTACGTGTGGTTGGCCCCTGGGTGAGCTGGACCCTTGATCCGTTCCAGCAGGGCTCTTCTGTTCTGACCTACTTCCTGTCCATTCCTGTATGGACTGGCTGGTCTAGCAGACCCTCCTTGTGGACTTCCAAGTCTACAATGCTCCAGGTTCTTCTACTTTTGAAGAAGGTATCTTCTTTCTTGCCTTGATGCTTTCCCTTTCCCTCTCTTGTGGCATATTCCTTGTTTCTGCTTTGGTGACACCGATTAATTAGGCAGCTTTGTGAAAAGGGAGGATATTAGGCTTTCTCTCTCACTGACTGTCATCTTCTCCTCTAATTAAACGTTTCAGGTGAGCTCAAGTGAGGCTCTGGGGTGGAAGGTAATCAAGCATTTCCAGCTGCTAATTGCAAGAGGGGGCCTTTGAGCCCTTTGGTTCTGTTCCAGTTGACTTGATGTCTTTGCTCCCCACTTCTAGTGGAACTCAGACACCATAGGTCAGGGCCACCTTAATTTACAATTAGTCTGACATGGGCCCACTGACGCCACAGTTGCAAGAGGAGAATCCCCCACAGGCTATGGAGTTTATGAAGCTAAATTAATCGTGGGAAGAGGAAGCAAATATTGAAAAGCATCCTGATTCTGCTCCATCCAACAGAGGGCTCATTGCTGCTCTACCAAAAGGAAGGAAGGAGGTCTGGAAAAGACCCAGAGGCTGATTGGTGGAAGGGTGGAGGTTAATTTACTCTAATGGGGCTTAATGATTTTCAGAAGGCAGCTACCGCAACTTGCCTTCTAATCCCATTAGTGTCTCAGGACCATAATTAGTGCTTTAAAAGGAGAGCATCCCCCTGTTTTTGTGTGAAAATAAAAGCAGAGCCATATATTTGTTCATGCTGCTGTCAAGTCGTCTTTGGACAGTACGTAATTTAAGCTAGACCTCTCCCTGCACGCATCTGAGCCGGTTGCAGTACCTGGATGTTGGGCCTTGAGCCACATGCAGCAGCTGGAGGGAAGCTGGGAGTTGGGAGCAGGGGATCAAAGGACCAAGGGAGAAGGTGGCGTCAAGGAATGCGCCAGAGGAGGAGGGCCGCCACCTTTGCTCAGGCAAGAGCCCGTGCCCAAACAAGAGGGCACAATGGTTTCATGTTCCCATTGTGCCTTTGTTGCATCCACTGCTGTCTGCCCTAACCCAAAACACAGATTGGGATCAGGCCACTGGATAACCCATGCTCAGTGGTGGAGTATGGGTTGAACTGTGGGTTGTCCCAGAAATATGGGTTGTTGTGTGGTTTGAACCCAGCTGAGATATTAAAACAGTTCATAAGCTACCAACAAAGAGTGGGTTCTCTTCATGGGTTCTTTGTGGTTGTCAAGCCATGACTTGCTAGTGCAGCTGTGTCCAGACAACAAGATAACCTACACTTCAAGCCAAATTCAACCCATACTCAGATCATCATCACAGGAAGCCACCTCCTGCAGGGATGAGGTATCTCAGGCCTTGGACAAAGCCCAGCTCTTCCAGGGTCCTAATTAATTCCTCCGGGGTTCCTCAGAAGGCCACGCTCCCATTCCCTAGCCACAACCCCATTCTCCCCAGCTACTGACTGAGGGATGACTTTCTTGGTCTTGTGCAGTTCCTTTCCCTAGTTCTAGAAGGATAGCCTGTTGTTCTTATA